ACTTTAACGGAAATATATTTTCGAAGAATGTTGCATTCCTCGATTCCATTATCGTGTTCTTATGTATTTCTGGATTATCAGACCTATACACTAAGAATCGATACGTGCTACCACTGTAGCCAATAAAGATTCCATCAACGGTCTTTGGACCAATCTTTATTTTCTTTGGTGGTGGTGCTAAAACTTTTGCAAGGCACCCCCACACTTTCAGGTATTTATAGGAAGGTTTCCTATTATACCACAACTCGTAAGGAGTCTTATCGAGTTTCTTTCGGGGTATTTTATTTAGCAAATAATTGCTAGATAAGATAGCCTCCCCCCACATATTTTGGGGTAGCCCCGAACTAAGCAACATCGCATTCATCATATCTTTGAGAGTGCGATTTTTCCGTTCCGCCACACCATTTGATTGGGGTGTGTATGGCGGAGTTACCTGATGCACAATCCCATGTTGTGCACACAATTTGGCGAATGGAGCTTCGTACTCCCCGCCCCTATCACTCCTAATTGCTTTAATTTTGCGATTGAGTTGATTTTCTACTTCATTCTTATACCGAATGAAAGTGTCCAACGCCTCATCTTTACTTTTTAGTAAATAAATATAGCAATACTTCGTGCTATCATCAACAAAAGTGATAACATATTTGTTACCACCTCTTGAAGGCGTTGATTTGAAATCACACAAATCCGTGTGAATTAAATCCAGTGGCTGAGTGGTTCGCTCAATTGTTTGAAACGAACTTCGCGTTGACTTTGCTTCGACACACGTCTCACATTTGTGGGACTGGTCGATGTCAAACTTAGGGATATATTCCATGTTAATTAATTTCCGAAGAGATGCATAATTAACATGTCCTAGTCTTCCATGTCACACATTGGAGGACTCACAAACATAGGCAACAAGAGTTTTATTAATTTTCTCAACAACAGTGAGTACATTAAGCTTAAAAAGCCCATCAGAAATATAACCTTTGCCTATGAATATTCCCTTTTTGCTCAAGATCAGCTTATCAGACTCGAACACCATGCGGAATCCATGTTTGTTCAATAGTGAGCCTGACACCAAGTTTTTCCGCATGTCCGGCACATACAACACATCATTCGGCGTGAGCTCCTTGCCGGATTCCATCTTGAGCTTAACTTTGCCCACGCCTTGAACCTCGGATTGGGCCGAGTTGCCCATCCACACCTTGTCGCCAGAAGTCTCCTTAAAGTCAAAGAGCATGGCCCGATTGGAGCAGATATGACGAGTGGCTCCAGTGTCAACCCACCACTCTTTCGAGTTAGACCCGACCAGGTTGACCTCTGTCACGACAGCACAAAGATCTATTGCATCTAGCTCTGAGCAGAGAGCTTCTTCCTTCTTCTGCTTCTTCTTCTCAGGCTTCTTGCGGCACTCTGAAGAACGGTGGCCCGTAATGCCACAGGTGTAGCATTTCCCCGCGAACTTGGGCTTCGCGACGCCTCCTTTAGGACCAATTTTATTCTTTTCCTTATTTAGCTTGGGCTTTTTGGAAGAACCCTCTTTGGGTGGATGCTCCACCACATTGGCCTTAGCAACAGCTACTTTCTTCTCGCGAGTGAGACCCTCTTCACGGATCCGGAGACGAACAAGCAACTGTTCTATAGTCATTTCTTTCCGTTTGAGCTTGAGATAGCTCCGGAACTCATCCCAAGCCGGCGGGAGCACATGAATAATCGTCGCCACTTGGAATGCCTCACTGACTCCCATTCCCTCGTCAGTGCACTCATTAAAAATGAGAATCAATTCTTCAGCTTGACTGACCACGGGTTTGGAATCCACCATCTTAAAATCCAAGACCTTACCGACAACGAATTTCTTCGCACCGGCGTCCTCGGCTTGGTATTTGTTGGAAAGTGTAGTCCATAACTCCTTTGCGGATGCAGCCCTGCTATAAACAGCATATAAGGCATCGCTCAAGCAATTCAGGATAAGGTTAAGGCACATATAGTTATTCGCTATTCATGCCTCTTTAGCCTGAACTGTTGGCTCGTCTGCGTTCTCCCCCACAACAGGGGGATCCTCCCTCAAATACCTCGCAAGGTTGAGGGTGGTCAGCCAAAATAACATCCTTTGCTGCCATATTTTAAAACCAACACCTATGAACTTTGCCGGTTCTTTGACAGAGTTCGCAGGCAGCATAACAGTAGGATGTCCGACCGGTGAGGATGTGAAGACACCCGTGTTCGGTCCAAGTGAGGGAATGACCGGTATGGCCGAAGCCATATTCGGTCCGAGTGGGGTGACCATTGCGGCCGTAGCCGCGGTTGGTCCAATAACCGAGGTGACCGGAGCGGACCCAATAGTCGCGCTCGATCCAATGAAGGTGGTGATCGGAGTGGAGCCCATGGCCGCACTCGATCCGAAAGGAATGTTGATCGGAGTGGTCTGCCCCACAGAGCCACCCAATCCAGCCGAAACGTTCACAACCGGAGTCTCGGAACTACTCCTGTTTCCGGTGTGAGCGTCAAAACTGAATCCGTCCATACCCGCCATTGCGCACGGATATGACTACTACCTTAAGATTGTTACAATTCTCGTACGGATTACAACGGACGGGGAAGACGAACGGTCCCGGAAATAAAAAATAAATAAAATTCTGAATTTATAATTTATTCAGAATATTACAAAATAAACAAAGTTAAAAAAATAAATTTCTATATCTTCAAACAGCCTTGTTGTATGAGGACGTTAAGCACTGGACAGCGAGGACATTAAGCACTGGACAGCAAGGTCTTTAAGCACTAGACAGCAATTCAAGGACGTTATGCACAAGGCTGCGACGACATTATGCACTAGGACAGAATGCAACGAGGTCTTTATGAACTAGTCCTGCAAAGAAAACACCACAGAAGGACAGCGGAGTCGCCGGAGCTGTCCTTAAGGTAGTAGTGCCCGCCTACCGTACCGGAAAAACGTGGGCACTCTCCTCCCAGGATAAACCGCTATCGTGTGTGGAGATTGTACGGATCAACCACACACCAACGAACAAGAACAACGTAGGAACGTTGGCGACCAAAAACTTTGAAGGGGATGGCCGGAAACTTGGCCGGAAAATCAAGAGCTCTCTCTAAAGATTAAACAATAAAGTTTTCCCTTTCTCTTCTTTCTTTCTCACGTATGGATGCTCTCCAAAAAAATGAGAAGAGTCCCTCCATTTAAATAGGCATTTTCATGGCTCTTCATTTTGTAACTTATATGCCATGAAGGCACATTCAATAGCCATGACTCACCATCATTAGTAATATTTTTAATGGTGTGTTAATACCACCATTAACATGGGGGTTACAGCCATAATGTTTAAAATTCTTCCTATTTAATTGGAGATTAATGGCCAGTTAACTCCGTAAAAGTGGAATAATTTTAAACATTACGTAACGGGTTAACTCTGAGAATCAATTTCTCATTCACCCTTCTACCATTTTTGGCGTATAATATATCAAAATATTTATCTCATTTAAGAGAACACACGTCTATTAATTAACGGTTAAAACCGTTAGTGGACCTATTAAAATGCCAAAAATTCCAACAATGACGAGTAAGAAGACGAAGATAATAATAATAATAATAATAATAATAATAATAATAATAATAATAATAATAATAATAATAATAATAATAATAATAATAATAATAATAATAATAATAATAATAATAATAATAATAATAATAATAATAATAATAATGGGTTGGGTTTTGTTGACACTGGAATCCAGTGTCAACGGATGACACTCGCCCTTTTTGAGTACTTTCGGTGCTCCATTTTCAAAATTGATGATTCCTATCTCTCTAACTACCCCCTAAATCCCCTACCCCCTAACCACCCCCCTAAATCCCCTACCCCAGCCCCACTCTACCCCTTCACCCCAGCCCCCCTAAGTCCCCCTCCAAATGTGTGGCTATTATGCATTTCTCCAAATGTGTGGCTATTATGCAATGCATAATAACCACACATTTGGAGGGGGGTTGGGATGGAGGTAAGGCGAGGCTGGGGCAAGGGATTTAGGGGGTGGTTAGAGTGGTTGATCATGATTGCTGACCCACATCTATCTCAATAACTCACTCAATCACTACTTACAAAATACCCCTACCCCACCAAACAAAAATATACGGAGTATTAGTAAAAAACAAAATATACAATCATTACTACGCACTTAAGCTCTTTTTCGGTTGGAATATGATTTGATCTAGACTGATATGGTCTCATTAAATCTGATATGAACTCATTGGATCTAAGCTAATATGATTTGAATGGATAAAAAAGAACAATCCTAAATAATAATTCATCTAGGTTGATATAAACTCAATTGATAAAATCTGATCTGATTCGAATTGATCTGATTTAATTTGGGTTGATCTAATCTGATCTAAACTTCAATGATTAAAGTTTATTAAGTTTGACTATAAAATAAATCAAAATTAGATGAGTATTTTAGGACAGAGATAATATTATTCAATCATATTAACATTAATATTAAAGTCAACCCAAATACACTAAAAAGAAGAAAATTACCCTTAAATCTTGAAACAAGAAATGTACAGTCAAATTTATCCCTAAACCTGACATGTTTTCACTTATTTTGTAAAATGTTTTATGTAATTTTTAAATATAAAATTCATATTAATTATTTTTATAAAAAATTTAGAAATAAAATCATTAATAAATTCCACAAAACTCTAAAAACATATTGACCACAAAAGTCACACTTTGAAGAAAGATATGGAAAATGAGTAAAATCTTCTCTGCTAATCATTCGTTAGGGAAATAGTTCCCAAAATCTTCTAGATCTTTGAATTTAATTCCAAAATTTTATGTTCTCCATACATTTTAGAGTTCCCTCCTCAAATTTTAGAATCCTGTTCCTAGATTTTTTGGCTCCCTCCTCAATTTTCAGAATCCATTCTCAGAGTTCCTTTCAACGCCGCTCGTACTCTTCTCAGGTGAAAAGGATGAAGAAGAGCAGTGAAGTCGTTCCTGTGAAGGAGGTGGCTGGAGATATTCAAGAACATGTTGAGGACCTTGACGACCCTTCCACTAATTCCATTATCTCTGAAGAGGCTATCTCTTTGGAGGCTAAAGTTCCAGCTATGGAAGAACAGAAGTCCAGTGCTCCAGACAAGGTGTTTGATGAAATGCCAATTAAACCAAAGGTCAACTTTGTGGAACTTTTATAAAATAACAAAGACTAAAAGCTTGGTATCCCCCTCTACAAAGGAGATGAAGGACGCACTACAACATCTTTGATTGCATCCATCTTTTATCAAAAGTTTGGCTATACTTTCTCTATCCTGGTGCTGTAAAATTTGGTTACTTAATCTCTAAAACTTTTATATTAATCTGAGTCAAATTTATGATATTTAGCTATTATTCGTTCAAATTTTTTTATTTGAAAACTAATTCCAATGCATAATGGTTGGGCTAAACAAGTTACTTCGACAATTTCATTCTTGTTGGTGTTATTGTTGTTGTTGAATTAGTTACTTAGGCTATTTTTTCAAACACATACAAATTAAAGTATGCAATCACTTGTTTATGGTTATTGTCACTAAACTGTGAATTAGCACTTTGGAATTGCATAAATCAATTAATTCTCAGCCACTAGTTTTTAAAGTTTACTATAAATTACCCAATGTCATGCTTTTTTGTTTCTGTACTTCATCTTTTTTAATTCCTCATGATAAACACGTATCGATAGTTGTTTCTGTACGCACTTGTTGGCTCTAAACTATGGTGCTTTTGTCTTTATAATTGAATGGTGCTGGTGATGTGATTTTCAATGAAAATCGTTAATCCATTTGTCTTATAAACAAGTATCCAATTTCTTTATTTGATTAAGCTAAGAGATATCAAAATGGGATGTTAACCACAACTAGTGGCCAAACCTCCAAAACAGCTAGGAGAAGGCGGTCTATGAAGCTCAACATTGGAGAGACCCGAACCAATCATAATGTATATTCAAAAGAGACCCGAACTGAAAAGATCCAAACCGGAACCAAACTCATTGACCCGATTGCCAAGTATAGCCAACACCCAAACTTCTACTTTTCATGGATGCTCCAACTCAAACAATAAGCTAGGCTCAGACAATGAGCTAGAAAACTCTCATTGGAGTAAGAATCTAGGTTACACTTCAGGCCTTGTGGTCTAACCTATGCATACAGCTCATCATCCACCTTCATAAGAATGTGGAGAAGAGTGGGAGACTGATAGAGGTTCTGAAGAAGATGGCTATTTTAATGCTGGGATGTGGGTTATATTTCTTTGAGGTATGATGATTTTCAATTTATTGCTTCTTCAGCAAGGGGTGTATGTTGTTATGATTCTGCTAGAGAAGGGAATGTTAGTTACTTTGCTATTTGCGCTTCGAAGTTGCCTTTAAACTAATTAGAAACTAAAAGAGGAAAATTATGTTGGATATAAGTTTTTCTTATTGAATTTTTAGCTCATACTACATACTCCCTCCGTCCACAAATAAACTTTACGTTCACTATTTACAGGGTCAAACTTTATTTACTTTGTTGGTTTATTTTCGTCACCCATTTGATAAAATAATATAGTCATGTCACCTCTAGTTTTGTAGATCTTTTGATATAGTTTTTTAATATGTAATTTTTATTTTTCAATTCTACACCATTTTTCATATAAAATGATTTGAAAATAACTTCAGTCAAACATCGTAACGCGCAATGTAAAGTTTATTTGTGGACGGAGGGAGTATGTTTTTTCAAGATCTATTTATATGCTAATCAAAGCGAGTCAAACTTATAAGAATTCATAAAGAGAAAACTTTTGATACTTTGGAATGTTTGTCTTAGATATTTGCTTGACCTTAGTTGATGACTTTTATTATGTTGTTGTGGAGATATGTGCTCTGGTCTCATATGTGCTAAACTGTCAAACTCACTTAGCTATTAAGGACTATTCAAAACTTTAGTACTTTTGAAACTTAAAAGTTTAACTTATAGCATTAAAATCAGGTGTAGTTTAAAGCCCAAATGATTTCTTTAACATGTGTGTTTCATATCTACATAGCATTATTTCTTTGATGAACCTCTCAAATTCATCCAAAGTAACTAAGATTGAAAATGTGAATGGAAAATGAAGAAAAAAGTATAAGAAATATGTTCCTTCTTAATTATATCTCCCATACCTATAAACATGTATGAGAACTTTGTAGTCTTCCCCTAAGGATGAGAAGGATATATAATTACCCTTACTTTCCTAAAAGAATCAGCCAAAAAATATAGGTGATCTCGAATGCCTTCACACTCAAAACTCTATAAACAATACACGTTAAAGTTTAAAACATCATCACAAATCTTCCCACAAAATAGAAATGGAAGACATAAATTAAGAGTAAAAATATGATTTGAACCCCCAACTATATAAAGCATTTAAATTGTTTAAGTTGTTAATTGAGTTACTTAAACTCGACTTGGTCATTCACACTTAATCTCATTCTATGCTAGTTTTTCTCTAAAAACAAGTGGAGTTCCCAATGCTCAATGACAAAAATACATAGTGTAGGGGATGAATTGTGTGTGAAAAGAGGGCTAAATTTAGTAAACAAATTAGAGGTAAAACAGCATGATGAAAATGCTAGTTTCTAAAGAAATTGCCATCATTGAACCATATCTCTCTATTTTATATGCCAATATCTGAAGCAAACGTCCAAGTACCATAAAATTTTGAAGAAAAGTACATTTAGTTTAGCAAAATTTGTATCAATGCAATTGCGTGCATAAATAAATAAATAAATAAATAAATAAATAAATAAATAAATAAATAAATAAATAAATAAATAAATAAATAAATAAATAAATAAATAAATAAATAAATAAATAAATAAATAAATAAATAAATAGAGTAATCTATTTTGTTCTCTCATACCTTGCCAGACTTTTCATACTTTGTATAACATACTTGGCTGGGAGAAGAAACGGACAAAACCTATAGTTAAATCACTCCAAATTTAGAAATGAAAACTTATAAAGCCAAGATTATACAATGCAACTTCCTCGCCTAGCTGCTTCAAGTGCCCTTGTAGTTGTGGTCATAATCCCCTTGTCGGGGCTAGGGTCATAAACCTAGCGCACCCCACCATCGTCTTGATCTTTTAGTTGGGCTAGAGAAAAATCTAGCCAAGCCCGCCACCATCCTTGCCACAGCTGCCATTCACTTTCGGGCCTGGGGTTTTTTATCTAGAAACCCAAAATATAAAAACCCTTAAAATTATATTGTAAATATGGAGTATAAAGCAATTAAAGCAAAAAGAAGAAAAATAACATTACCTCTCATCGAGTTTGCCCATTTGCCCCTATGAGTGAGATATTCTATCAGTCAGAAAATGGGTTAGCGTGAAGGCAAGAATCAGAAGATGGAACGTACCTGATGCTAATTAGGCTTATATAAAATCTCCAAGAAACCTGTTCTGTTGCCAATGGAACTAACGAAGTCATGATTGGAAATGTTATAGCTTCTAATAAATAATGGACTTAATCAAAATGACACACTTAACTTCTTTTCCTTCTTACTTCCAATCAAGTTTTGCGTAGTAAATGCAACTATGCATCAAGTGTTTAATGGAAACAGTCTTTGTATTATATAGGAGTAAGACTGTATACGTATTGACTCCTAGACCCCAACGAAGTTTTATCTTCATGGTCTGTTCGCAAACCAAGATAAGGGGTTTCTAAGTAGAGTATGTTGAACACAGTGTAATGCCTCGAAAATAGGCCTATCAGAATTAATTAATTAATAACTAAGAAAGACCTAAAAATAAATGATTTAAAAAGTTTGCCAATAAATAATGAAAATTATATCATTGTGTAGATTTTGACTGTCTGACCGCAACTGTTCAATCGGAATTTAATTCGGAGAAAGTTGGACCGAAGAGTATACCCCGACTGGGACCAAATTAGTCCCAATCAGGGAACGGCGTGTAAATATCCCAGAAGCCGGTTTCCGTCGATTGAAGATCGGCTAATTGATTTCCCGACTCAGCATCTTGTGTCTTCTCCTCATCATCTTCCTATGTAAGAGAATCCAAACTCCCTCAATTCTTCACAATTCTTCAGAATTTTTCCTTTTATTCAGTTGCTCTGAACGAGGAGAACACACTGGTACTGTCAATTCGGTTAGAGGTCGCCAGAATTAGGAGTAATCGTCGCTGGAAGTTTCGTCGAAAAATTCTCAAAACATCCGTTAGCCGCTGCTCTTCTGGAAGTTTCGCCGAAATGGTAGAGGTGCTACTGTCAGCCGCTGCTCTTCTGGCGGTACCTGACGCCAGGCGGTACCCCGTACTGTCTGGGCAGTACTGAGGCAGCGTGCGCCGATACTGGGTACCGTGAGGGGTACCGTTCGATCCAGAAAACTTGATTTTTGAACTATTAGATCCTATTTTTGATACCAATCAATTATGATCAATATAAAAATGATTTCTGAAAATAAAAATGATGTTTTGATCATCCAAGAGCCTTATGTGATGTGTGACGGTAAGCTAGGGCACTTGACGCTAGGACGTTATTTGTAATCGAATATTATGATGATTATTATTGATGTTTTTTATGATTGGACTTTAATGAATATTCTGATTAAAGTAATAATTATGAATGATTAAATCATGATTAAAAATAAATTTATTGATGATTATGAAAATAATGTGTATTATTAGGAGTATCTAGAAAAACTCTAAGATATACCCATTTTAGATGATTAATGCTGATTATTAAGGATATCTAGAGAAATCTAATATATACCTATGTGACCAATTTAGTAATCTGGGGTTAAAACATAGAAAAAATTACTGCGGGGTATCCTAGATTTTGTGAGAAGAACTGTCAGGTCCCATTATTTTTTAAAATGTACTCCGGGGTACCTTAAAATATGAAAAAAGCTACTCCGGGGTGACATTCTGTCAATTTCTCCGTTAATCTCTCTTCTCCGTTAACTTCTCCTCCTTCTTCCCCATTTTCGATCTTTTTCTTCTTCTCTCCTCTTTTTCTCTTTTTTCTTTTGAACTCTTTTTTCTTTTACCTATTATTATTATTATTATTATTATTATTATCATCATCATCATCATCATCATCATTATTATATTAAGTTTTATTTTAAATAATAAGTGTTATTTTTCTTAAAAAAAGAGTAATAAAAACTACTCATTAATTTTTAATAATAATAATTATATATTAAAACAATAGCAGAAAAGTAAAATAATAAGAAGTAAATAATAATTAATACAAAGTAATAATAATAAGTACTATAATTTTTTTAAAAAAAATTATAGTAGTAAAATTACTAAATAATTTATTTTAATAAATAATACTATTAATAATTATAAGTGTTTTTTATAATAAGTGATATTTTTCTAAATAACAATTACTGTTATTTTTCTTAAAAAAGAGTACTAAAACGAATAATTAGTTTTAATATTATTATTAACAATTAAAATACTATGGAGTAATTAATAATAATAATAATAATAATAATAGAATAAGAAGAAAATAATAATAAATATGAAGTTATAATAATAAGTGCTACTCCACTATTTTTCTTAAAAACTAGAATGGTAAAAATACCAATTAATTTTAATAATAATAATAATAATAATTAATAAATAATAATAATAATAATAATAGAATAAGAAGAAAAAAGAATTCAAAACAAAACAAAAATAGAAGAAAAAAGGGGAGGGTGGAGGGCTGGATGAGATCTGAAGGCGGAGGAGGGAGAAGAAGAAGAAGAAGAAGAAGAAGAAAAAGAAGAAGAAGAAGAAGGAAGAAGATCGAAAATGGGGAAGAAGGAGGAGAAGTTAACGGAGAAGAGAGATTAACGGAGAAATTGACGGAATGTCACCCCGGAGTAGCTTTTTTGATATTTTAAGGTACCCCGGAGTACATTTTAAAAAATAATGGGACCTGGCAGTTCTTCTCACAAAATCTAGGGTACCCCGCAGTAATTTTTTCTAAAACATACGTACATGATCCAAACCAAACTTGAGGATCACTCGTTTGGGGATTTCACCCACCCGACAGTTCACTGTTCGGTTAAAGTGTGATCCATAAGACTTGTAGGATGGATCATCGATTCTTGTGTTCTGCCTTAAACTAATTATAGTTTAAGAGCCCGGTTAGAAATATTATCTTAGACTAAGACTAGTATAAGAGCTTTGTTATCAAAATGATTTGGCTTTAGATTAAAAATAATTTAAGAGCACTGTTGAAATACTGAATATTGAATATTGTATATATCATGAAATGACTCAAATTAAAATATTGTTAATATTATGAATGATGAATGCTTGAATTGAATATTATGTTCATGATATCTAATGATTTGATTATGAATTGAGATTCAATTTATATAGATGTTCGATGCATTAGATATTCTTACTCAGTTTTACCGTTGAGCGTGTAGTATGTTTTATTTGCTACACACAGGTAAACAAAAAGAATGAAGTGATGATTTTCTGGTGGTAGATGGGGCAAGATGGTCGGGATGGATAAGTGAATTCTAATTGCTGTTCTAAAAGACATAAATTTATTATGTTTTGTAATTGTGATTTATTAAGTTTCCGCAACTTTAAATACTCTGTTATTATCCCAAATAATTTATTATGAAATAAAGTTTGGAAATGTTCGAAATATTTTGAATGTTTGCGAATACCAAGTTCATACTTTAGCCTGTAACGAGCTGCAAAACTGGACGGATTAGGGTGTTACACACAATATTTACCCAACTATCTCCTCCACTTTTGCTAGCAAATTTCCATTGGGGGGGGGGTGTTTTGGATATGGCCTTTCCTCACATATTCATATTCTGTGAGAATGCTTATTTCTTGATAACAAAAATGTTAACTTATCAAAAAACAAACAAATATATTCACAATCTAACACACGAATCTGAATCCAAAGTGTAGCTCTTCTTACTTCAGTTCTTAGCCTAAAAGGATTGGGGTTTATAGGCTTTGGTTTCTTGAATTTCTCTCAAAAACAACTCCGTACTAAGATAAGTTTATAGCTACTCAGAGTTGTTATTAATAAAAAAAACAATCCAAACCATTTGTTGTTTGAGAAGCCTAGTTTTAGGAAAATGATAAAGACTATTGCTCTTCATCACAGTGCATGATTTGATTCTGTGATACAAAGATCCGAGTTAAAGACTTGGATTCCTAGATGGCACTAAAACTCGCTACAACTAATCTTAAACCTGGTCCTTCATGGCCCATCATCATTGCTTGCCCCGATCTTTTGGATGGTGGACCTCCTTGGCCTCTTTAAAGAAGAAAAAAATTAAAAATATACATAAATTGAAAATAAATAGCTACGGAGAAAGATTTGGAACCTGACATTGAGACTAAAGTTGAAGAAATGAATAACCCTAGCTCAAATTTGTACTCTCTATCTTCGGACCCACAATTGGCTTATTCGAGGCACAACTATCCGGCATATACTGTTCTTAGACGTCTTCTCCAGATTATTGGTGCAATTTTCAGATCAAGACGCATACTTATTATTCCCACATCGAGATGATAGAAATAAATGCAAAATCAAAAAGAGATCTAGAAAGCTTACTGCAAACTCCGGCGAACGATAAAAAAATCAAAAGAGAGATGTAGAAAGCTTATCGCAAACCCCGGCGGACGATGAGAGCAGTGGCGCACGGCAAGCTCAATTTGGTCATCTTCGGCGAAAATAACCCTAGAAGAAAAGTCTTTGTTTGTTTTACGGAAAACTAATCCAAAAGCCTTCTCGATACGCTACAGGCTTGGTAGCATAATTTGCCCAAACCCGAACCAAAAAGGCCATCCAAACCTTACCCGAAACCAAAAAAATGGTTGGGAAAAAGTATTGTTTGTTATAAAATGAGAGAAAGGGCATGTTTAATAATAGCGTTAGCGTTTTGGATAAAATTTTAACGGTGCAGATAACTTTGAAAACACTAATACTAAACACTGCCCGTAGATAGCCTTTTCAAAACGCTAACGCTAATCGCTAACGTTATTCCCAAACAGGCTTAAAAACTACTCAGATATTATGAGAATAGATATAATATATTTCTGAAATCTTCTCTCTATTACAATGCAGGGATTAGGCATCTATTTATAGTGGAGAGCCTTAGTATGAATACAAATACAAGTGGAAAGGACTGTACAAAATTGATACTCATCAATGGGTGTCTTAATCTACTATTCTAGAAAGTAGGCTTGATTAATTGAATAAATGAATAATCATTAATTTCATAACACTCCCCCTTGAATGTTCATTTTTCAATTAATGATGGGTACTTCGTAAATGGGCATAGTTTAGTAACTCATTCTAATTTTATGCACTGTCTCGTTAAAAACCTTGTCAGGAAAAACCCAGTGGGATAAAAACCTGATCAAGGGAAAAAGAGTACAGTTCATAAAATTCTCCCCTCAGCTTAGCATAATTGACGGAGGCGACGCATGCCAATCTTGTGTACGAGTTCTTCAAATTTCTTTGGGGGCAACGCTTTTGTAAATAAATCAGCGAGATTCTCACTGGACTTGATTTGCTTGATGTCAACCTTTCCATCTTTCTCGAGATCATGTGTTGAGAAGAACTTTGGTGATATATGCTTTGTTCGGTCTCCTTTGATATAACCTCCTTTCACTTGAGCAATGCATGCAGTATTGTCTTCATATATAAGAGTCGGATGACTAGTAATTGTTTCTATACCGCACCCGTTCTGGATATGTTGGATCATTGATCGCAACCATACACATTATCTACCTGTTTCGTAGAGAGCTATCAACTCCGCGTGATTTGATGATGTGGCAGTCAAAGTTTGCTTCATCGATCTCCATGATATTGCGGTATCTCCATAAGTAAACACATATCCTGTTCGAGCTTTTGCTTTTTGCGGATCAGACAAATATCCTACATCAGCGTATCCAACAAGAGTGGCCTTGGCATCTTTGCGGTAGAATAAACCAAGGTCGATGGTACCATTGAGATATCGCAAAAAATGTGTTTAATGTCATTCCAATGCCTCCTAGTCGGGGTCGAGCTGTGTCTGGCTAACAAGTTCACTGAGAATGCAATATCTGGTCAAGTGTTGTTTGCTAGATACATCAAAGCTCCAATAGCACTCAAGTATAGTATTTCTGGACCGAGTATTTCTTCATCATCTTCACGAGGTCAGAATGGATCATCATGTACATTGAGAGAGCGGACAACCATCGGGGATGTGAGAGGATGTGCTTTATCCATATAAAACCGCTTTAGAACCTTCTTCGTGTAATTTGACTGGTGGATGAATATTCCGTCTTTCAAATGGTCAATTTGAAGACCAAGACANTCATCTCAAATTCTTTCATGAGATATTTTGCAGTATTTTCTATTTCATCAGAAGTTCCAATGATGTTTAAATCATCAACATATACTGCAATAATGGCAAAGCCTGATTTAGATCTACGGATGAAAACACATGGACTAATTGGATCATTTTTGTATCCTTCTCTGAGCAGATATTCACTGAGACGATTATACCACATTCTGCCAGATTGTTTTAGTCCATATAGTGACTTTTCCAATTTTATGGAAAACATCTCTCGAGGTTTTGAACTATAAACCTCAGGCAATTTAAGGCCTCCAGGAACTTTAATATATATGTCTGTATCGAGAGATCCATATAAATATGCTGTCACTACATCCATTAAACGCATTTGAAGTTTTTCAAAAGACAGACATGCCTATCAAAAATCTCAACGTAGTTGCATCAACTACTGGGGAATATGTTTCTTCATAATCTATCCCCGGGATTTGAGAAAAACCTTGGGCAACGAGTCGGGCTTTATATCTCACAATTTCATTTTTCTCATTGCGCTTACGCACAAAAACCCATTTGAAACCAACTGGTTTCACGCCTTTTGGCGTAGGAACTATAGGCCCAAAAACACTTCGTTTTTCAAGTGATTTCAATTCTGCCTGAATTGCTTCATTCCATTTTGGCCAATCATGTCTACGTCGACATTCATCAACTGAAGTTGGCTCAATGTCATCATTTTCATCAATGATGTTTGTGGCAATGGCAGATGCGAATATATCATCAACATGAACATCTTTTCTGTTCCATTGCAATCCCGTAGAAACGTAATTTATTGAAATCTCATAATTATCAACGTTTCTATCTTCATCTGAATTATTCGCATCTTCAGAAATTGTTAAATCCTCATTTGAAACAAATTGTTCGTTGATATTATTTTTTATATCCACATGCTCGGTTTGTTCATTTTCTTTCCTTGAAGAATGAACATCTTTTGTTTCAAATATTGTCTCTTGCCTTTTAAGTTTTCTTGGTTTTACATCTTTTGAACCAAGTGGTCTGCCACGCTTTTTGCGTATTAAAGACTCATTTGCAAGGGTTTTTCATTTTTCTCTGAAGGAATTTCAATTTTGCCAGGAGCATTCATCGCAGGGATATGTGACTTTGTCACTTTCTTTGAATCCGTGAATGCGTCAGGCAATTGGTTTGCAACATTTTGTAAATGAATTATCTTTTGCACTTCTTGTTCACATGCATTTGTTCTTGCATCAAGAAAAGATAATCCTGTTGCATTCCATGTAATCTCTTTCGTACGTGGGTCCTTTTTCTCATTTTCTCCCCCTAAGGTTGGGAATACTGTCTCATCGAAATGACAGTCAACAAACCGAGCTGTGAATAAATCACCAGTCATTGGCTCAAGATATTTTATAATTGAGGGAGAATCAAAGCCAACATAAATTCACAGCCTTCTTTGAGGACCCATTTTTGTACGATGTGGTGGAGTAATTGGTACATATACGACACATCCAAATATTTTTATGTGAGAAATATTTGGTTCTTTTCCAGTTACCAATTGTAATGGGGAAAAAATATGATTTGCAGTAGGCCTTAGCCGAATTAAATTTGCAGCATGCAATACAGCATGTCCCCAGACAGATGCAGGTAAACTGGATTTCATCAATAATGGTCTAGCAATTAATTGCAATCGCTTTATTAAAGACTCAGCAAGACCATTTTGAGTGTGTACATGAGCAACTGGATGCTCCACATCAATCCCAATAGACATGCAATAGTCATTAAATGATTGGGATGTAAATTCTCCTGCATTATAAAGTCGGATTTTCTTTATTGAATAATCCGGAAATTGAGCTCTCAAATGTATGATTTGAGCAAGGAGTTTTGCAATTGCAAAATTTCTCGTAGATAAAAGACTAACATGTGACCAACGTGTTGATGCGTCGATTAATACCATAAAATAACGAAATGGTCCACATGGTGGGGCAATTGGCCCACAAATATCTCCTTGAATTCTTTCTAAAAATGCAGGAGATTCAACTCCAATTTTATTTAGAGATGGCCTGACAATCAATTTTCCAAGAGAGCAGGCAACACATGAAAAATCAATTGATCTTGGAATCCTTATATTTTTCAATGGATGTCCAATTGGATTTTGAATTATTTTGTGCATAATTACACTGCCAGGATGACCCAAACGGTCATGCCACAAAATGAATGTTTTCTGATCATCTAATTTTTTATTAGAGATAACATTCACTTCAACGGGACTAATGTGAGTATAATATAGCCCCGAGGTTTGGTTGTCGTTATACACAAGTATTCCTTTTGATTTTCTGTCATGGTTTCAATGTGATAACCATTTTGACGCATATCTTTAAAGCTCAATAAATTCCTTCGGGATTTATTTTGTTCCTTGGGGAAGGATTAAACAAGCCATTCCAGACCCTTCAATGAGTTTTGCAACACCAGAGATTGTATTGACATTTGTTTCCATCAATGTCATTTGGGAAAAATATTCTTTGTTTCTCAAAATGGTGTGCGTTGTGCACTGTCAATTAGACATTGTTCTTTGCCACTGGAGCCATAAGCAGTTATCTCCATATCTTGAATATAAATAAATATATAAATAAGTTCAAGATAATTAACATAAATATCACACATTTTATTATAAGCTTTAAATCATACATAATAATACAAGTACATATGAAAAATAAAGTACAAATTTTAAATTTTTATTTTAATGGTAAACACACCATAACATGACAATTAAAAAAAATTAAACAGTAGCTGTTCCACCAAAAGCCACCTCATCACCAATTTCAGCATCATTCATGTAGAAATCGGACACATCAAATTTAGGCAAAATTGGGTTGATATCATCAGCATAATTAGCCTCCACATTTTTTCCTTTTCCTTTTGTGGAAACTTGGTATAATTTTACCAAGTGTTTTGCCGTTCGACATTCATTAGCCCAATGTCCTTTTATGCCACATTTATAGCATTCACCACTTGGTTTTGGCTTTTCATGAGTTTTAGCCTGTGGTGGTTTGAATTTTCCTTTTCCCTTGGAGGATGATACATTTGGATTTTTATAGCCCCTATTCGGCCCTTTGTTGCGGTTATTTCCGCGGCCACGGTTAAAGTGTCCACGTGCACCACCTTGGATAACATTTGATTCCGGTGCTGAACAACGATCAGGAGACCAAAATTTGTAGGGGTACAACCGGTAGGCCTCATGTTATGATTTTTCATCAACAGCTCATTATTCTGCTCAACAACAAGTAATACTGAGATTAACTCAGAATACTTTTTAAAGCCCCTTTCTATGTATTGTTGTTGTAATATCACATTTGACATATGCATGGTGGAAAAAGTTTTTCTCCAACATGTCATGATCGTTGATATTATGTCCACATAATTTTAATGTGGACGTGACTTTGAAAATAGCAGAATTATAGTCACAAACGAATTTAAAATCCTGGAATCTTAAATTGATCCATTCATACTGAGCTCTTGGCAGTAAGACCTTTTGTTGATGACCATATCTCTCTTGGAGATTATCCCATAATTCCTTCGGATCTTCCACCAATAAATATTCAGATTTTAAACTTTCATGAAGATGGTGGCAAAGGAAAATTATGGCTTTTGCCTTTTGCTGAGATGATGATGTATTGTTTTCAGCAATTGTATTTTCTAGGCCATTAGCCTTGAGCTAAGCAAGTGCATCAACCCTCCATTCCAGGTACCTTTGACCGGATAACTCAAGAATGTCAAATTCTCTTTTGGTGATGTTTGCCATGGAAACTACAAAACAATAAATTTCAATTTTTTTTATATTTTTTATTTTTTTTAAAGGAAGTTTTATTGAATGGGGAAAGGAAATTACAACATGCCAGGATAAGGAATGCTCAAAACGAACAAGCTGAAAGTCTAAAAAACATCAAAAATTTTCTTTCCATTTCTCCAAAACATATCAATCCCCCAACCTTTGAAGTCTTCATCCTTGACGAGCCATTTCTTGTTTCTATTAACCCAACACCATCCCTGCACCAGTTTGAAGCATTGTTGGATTAGTGAAGCTGTGGTGGCTGATTTCCCTTCATGGATGGATGTGTTACGAGCTTTCCAAAGGACCCAAGAGATGATTCCAGGGAGGATGAGCTTGAGGTTTCCTTTGAAGCTTCGGCTGTTCCCACTTAGCCACCAGGCGATCAAGTGTTGACGTAGTTGGTTGCCAATGCGTCGTGGTGGAGCTGAGGGAATGTGTCCAAAATATTCCCAAACTTTGGCAGTGCATGGACAATGAAGTAGTGCGTGGTCTAGGGAGTCCTCTCCAGCCTGGCATAAGTTGCATCTGCTTGTGAGAGCAAGGTTGAAGCGTCTTAGGTTGGCAGGGAAAGGGAGAGATTTGTTAAGACATTTCCAAAGGAAAATCTTGATTTTGGGGATTTGTGTCTCTTGCCAGATGAACTTGTTGGTGATAGAGGATGGTAAACCTTCCTCTCCAATTTTATAGGCACTGCCAAGACTGAAAGAACCTCCTGACCAAGTCGCTCCTCCCCCCGAGATGTTACTATGAGCTGACCCTATGGCGTGAACCCTGCAGATCCTCTTCCATGATGGAGAATCAGTTATTTTCTCTTTTATGGATCCAGACCTCATATATTTTGCTCTGACAAAGGGACCCCATATACTCTGATCGTTTTGTGCTTTCCACCATAGCTTCAATGAATATGCTTGTTGTATTTTCTCAAGGTTTCGAATGCCAAGACCTCCAGCCTGCTTAGGGAGACAGATTTGGTTCCAGTTTTTCTAGTGGTACTTTGGTCTCCCATTCTTTTACCCCCAGAGGAAGTTAGCCATTAAGGAGTGAAGGGAATTGGAAATGGATTTAAGAATGGTTTGCACAGCCAGAATATGAAGGGGAATGGAAGAGAGGACGTGCTTGATGAGAATCAGTCTGCCCATTTGGTTGAGTGTTTTGCTATACCAGGAATGCAAATGATTGTGAAAGTGTTCCACCAGTCTTAAGCAGTCCTCCTTTTTGGCTTGCCCCTGTTGATTGTTGCTCCCAGATATAAAAAAAGGAGATCTCCATGCTTCATGTCAAGTGCTTTCTCCATATTTTGGATTTGAGTGGACTGAGTCTTTCTAGAGGTGTAGAATCTGCTTTTAGAGAAGTTGATCTCTTGCCCTAAAGCTTGCAAGTATTCTCCAAGAATGTGTTTAAGTTTAAGGAGATTCCTCGTGTCTCCTTTGGTGAAAATCATTAGGTCATCGGCGTAGATGAGATGGCTAGTGAATTTGACACTACCTGCATTAAATCTTTGGAAGTGGTTAGTGTCAACATAGTGATTGAGCAGCCTACTGAATCCTTCACCTGCAATGATATAAAGGAGAGGGGAGAAGGGGTCTCCTTGTTTAACTCCTCTGGACATTTTAAAGAATCCACATGGTTCTCCATTGATGAGAATGCTAATTTTGTTCCTTTGAGATTGGCCATCAAAAGGTTGATGGACTGATCAGAAAATCCAAAGGAATTAAGCATCCCCTCAATGAAGCTCCATTCCATTTTATCAAAAGCTTTTTCCATATCAATCTTGACAATAGTGTTGCCTCCATACACCTTTTTGTCAATAATGTGTATAGCTTCTTGGGCCACCAGTATATGATCATCAATGGATCTCCCCTTCAGGAAAGCTACCTGCTCAGGAGAGATAAGTTTGTGGAGGAGGGTATTAAGTCTGTTGGACAGAATTCTGGTGTTGATCTTGGTCATGAAGGTGGAGAGGGAAATAGGACGGTAGTCATCAAAGCGCTTGGGGTTCAAGGTTTTGGGGATGAGAGTCAGATAGGTGCTTTTGTATGCACAAGGGATGGGTCTGCCAAGGAAGAACTCTTGGGAAGCAATGAGCACATCGTTTTTAATTGTCTCCCAACAGGTTTTGAAGAAATTTCCATTGAATCCGTCTGGTCCACTTGCACTATCCCCGTTAAGCTCCCAGACAACCTTCTTTACTTCATTAATGTTTGGGATTGCACTCAGCATCATATTGTCCTCCTTTGTGATAACCTTGGGAATCAGGCTAGTGATAATGCTGTGGGATGGGGTGTGGTTGAAGGTGTAGAGTTTCTGAAAGTGTTGAATGGCCTCCTCTTTAATTTCGTTGGGGGATGAGATACCTCTTCCTCCAGAGGTAATAATGTGTTTGATAGAAAGTTTCTTTCTCTTCCCCTTGGCATAAGCTTGGAAGAGTTTGGAGTTTGCGTCACCCTTATCTAGCCACCTGATGTTGGCCTTTTGTCTCCAATAGTCCACTTCCATATTGACAGCTTTGATGAGTTTTGCATTGGCTAGTTGAGCAGAAGTTCTGTTAAAATATGTGGTGTCTGTCTCAAAGAGTTGTTGGGCTTGAATGGCTTCCTGCTCCAAGTTTTTGAGGTTGAGGAAGATGTTTCCAAAGGTGGTTTGATTCCAGACTTTTAGGGCAGTTTTTGTAGCTTGCAGTTTGGAGGTCAGACCCCTCATTCCTCCTGTTGTAGGGAACTTGGACCAAACATCTCTAATAGTCTGTTGGAATGTTTAATGCCAGATCCAGGAATTAAGAAACCGAAAGGGTTTAACCCCCCCCCCCCCCCCACTTTGCTGGTTGATGCACTGAAGTAATAGAGCCTTGTGATCCGAGTTGGCCCTAGATAGGTGTTTAAGGGTCACATCCTCAAAAGAGTTCAGTAGGTCAACATTTAAGAGGATTCTGTCCAATCTTCTCCAGGTTCTGCCTTGACTCTTAACCCCAGACCAAGTAAATAATCCACCTTCTGCATCCGAACAAATGAGCTTGCATTGTGAGATGCAGGTGTTGAAGTCATTCATGCTTTGGACATGCGGCGTGCAGATTCCTTTACATTCCTCATAAGAGGTAACTGCATTGAAGTCTCCCCCAATTATCCATCTCATATCTAGAGGGCAGGTTTCTTGAAAATTTAGCCAGAGCTTTGTTCTATCCTTGATTGAGTGGGCACCATACACCGAGGAGATGCGAATGGGCTGGTTGTCAAAGGAATATGTGAAGGTGCAGGAAGTAACTTGGTCGTCATCGGTGAATGAAACAAGGTTGAGGGTTTCGTTTCACCAAAAAATCCATCTCTTGTTGTTGGTGGAAGAGAGGCAGTTTGAGAAGCCAATTTTGAGTCTAAAGTCATCCAGTAGGGAGTTGCTGACAATGGGTTCAATAACACACAGGAAATCAAGATCAAATTTCCTCTTTATGAATATAAGTCTGTTGAGGGAAGAGGATGCCCTGCAGACGTTCCAAAAAATGAGCTTCATTGAGGGGTGTTGAGAGGTACGCCTTGACGCTTCTTGCTCCTGGTAAGGATGTTCGAAGGTGGGATGTCTTTTTTACACTTAGAGAATTTTGGTATAGGCATAGACTGCGTGGCACAGTTGGAGATGTCCAATTCCATAGGTTTGATGCATGATTTGTTGAAAGGGGTATCCTCTTCCTCCCCATCTGTATGGCAGACCATAGGCGTATCATCTTCAGGGAGAGAGTGCTGATCGTTGAAGTTTTCCCAGGATGGAACCAGTGTGGTATTAATAAATGAGTCGTCTTTACTACCTTTCCAGACCTGGGGATGGCAATCCAGTTCCTCTAGCAGTAAAGCATTCGAAGAGGGGTTGGAATGATGAAAGGGGATAATGGCCAAGCAAGGTTTGGGGCTGTCTGACCTTAGGAAGGAGAGGTCAGGAAAAGGTTCAGTGGTTGGGGTGGGACTGGGGTTGGATGGTGTGAGGTGAGGAGGGCATTGGGCTGTGAGGGTTGGTAAATATGGTTGGGTGAGGCTGGGTTAGGTTCAACTGTATCTTCTGCATCCTCAATAATGGGTAGGAGATGAAAATGGTTATGTGTGGTGGGATTCTCTAGTGGCTTTTCGTACCTGGTAGGCTGCAAGGGAGTTTTGTTTTGGAGTGTGTGGCTTAGGTGTGTGGCTCTTTCTTTTAATTGGAGATTAGAGCTGTGGACCCGCCTAGTTGCTTCTCTAATTTCACTGCTCTGAACCACACGTCGTTTTCCTTTTGCAATCTCCCAGCGTGATGAAGATGCGTTGGTTGTACATCCCGCTCCTAGCTGGCCCACCTCTCCAGCCGGAGCTTTGCTGGAGAGGCTTTTAGATATGGTTTTCCGGCAATGTTTTGTATCGTGCCCGAATCTTGTGCATTTGTCGCAGTAGGATAGGTGTTTTCCAAACTTACATGGGAGCCAGAGATCTCTTCCACCCAGCCTTATATGCAATCTAGGGGGTTTGGGGTTGGAGACATCCATTTCCACGCAAAGCCTCGCTCTATCTGGATGTACACCCATGGCAGTGTTAGCATCCAATTTGAGAGGTCTGCCCAATGTGGAGGCAATCGAATAAAGAGCCTTGTGGTCGTTAAGGTGTAGTGGCAGGTTGAAGATTTCCACCCAAACCGGCGTGACTGGTGAATCTCTGAGTTTGGAGTGCTTGGTGGTCCACTTTTTGATGGTGATTGCACACGCACCGATTCTCCAAACTTTCCGGTGGAACAGCCTGAGGTAGTCTTCGTCCTGTTTGAAAATGAAGATCAGCTCGAAAGAGTTGAGTCTTCTAAGTTTGAATTCCTTGTAGCCTCCTTTGATGAGGAATTTTTCCACTTCACTCAAGTGAATCCTCGAGCTGCATCTGCCAACTAGGGTTCTGTTGAATTTTCCGGCTAGGACATTTTCTTCTTCATTGGTAAACTCGACAGAAGGGGCATCCTTGTAGTAGCCTCGGGCTGTTCCTGGGATATTATTGAACTCATCTTATAAATTTCAATTTTATTATTATTGTTTTGTTAAAAACTAAGTGAATGGGTGTAGAAAAGAAATTATTTTACCAAAAAAAAAATTCCAAATGTACACAGTAGTATTGATTTTTCAAGAGCTTTAATATTAGTTTTTTTAAAAAAAAAACTCATAAGGTAGCACAATACATTTGAATAATGCAAACACAAGAAAAAAAATGTCAGATATGTGAGCTGTGCAATTCTTTTCCCTAACTTACATTATAAAAATTTGATTCCTTTTTTTTTCTTTTTTTTTCTTTTTTTTAATAAACAATCAAATATAAGAAGACAAGCATATTAAGCTATGTAGAATGTCATCCGTGTTAAAAAAACATTTTTTTTAAATACTCCGTTTGAGATAAGTAATGGAGCATCAAACTTTAAAATTGATTCCCTTTTGAAAAATAATAAAACACAACAAGTTAAAAATGGTCTGGCTGTCTGGCATGATATCCCTCTTTATCTTTTTTTTTAAAATTGATATGGGCCATCAAAAGCATCACACATTAGTATATTACTCTCTTCTCTCATAGTCATATTTTACTCCGAATATTATTCCTTTCATGTATTTATGCTATATCATATTATCATGTTCACTTTTTTTAAAAATCCAAATTTCAAAGAAAGAAAAAAAAACTTATAACGAGAGGAAGGGATAGAGATAATATTATTAAGTGAGATTATCTATTTCTATCAAGGATGTGTATGGTTCAAGAACAAATAAAAAAAACTCAAGAGCAGTATGAAGGTATGTTCATAATTGAATTCCAATTTTATTTGAATTTCAATTTTTTTTAAAGCTACTCTGTACTAAATTCTACTCTATTTTAATTTATCAAAAATATGATTTTCTGATGTGAAGGATCCCAAATTTGGGCAATCACAGAGCATACTTCTCATTGTTTTAAGAAAATATTTTAGTTTGTTTATGAAGAAAATAAAATAAATATACCTTCTGAGAGGAACAAGGATTCTGAGATTTTTGAGCAAACTCGTGCTGATAACGTGTTATAAAATGAGAAAAAAACTACTCAGAGATTATGAGAATAGATATAATATATTTCTGAAATCTTCTCTCTATTAACTCTTCACTCTTCTTCTTATTCTTAATTGTGATTACAATGCAGGGATTAGGCCTCTATTTATAGTGGAGAGCCTTAGTATGAATACAAATACAAGTGGAAAGGACTGTACAAAATTGATACTCATCAATGGGTGTCTTAATCTACTATTCTAGAAAGTAGGTCTGATTAATTGAATAAATGAACAATCATTAATTTCATAACATTGTTCGTTTTTTCTCTTTTAGCTTTGTATATAGTATAGATATTAATTACTATTATTATTATTATTATTATTATTATTACTATTATTATTATTATTATTATTATTATTATTATAACTTCTACTCCATATTTTTTAGTACTATCGCTATTATTATTATTATTATTATTATTATGATCATCAATATCTTTGTCTTCTTACTCGTCATTGTCATCGTCGTCATCACTATTACTACGTGTTATTCATGTCCTAGTGCAAGTAGGGGGAAAGTTAGTGCTTAGGCTATATGATGGGGTGGAATTTGTCACATCAGCATTCTTCATTCAATCCTTATTTTATCCCCACTTAAAGGTGTAGATCCCCTTCTATTTTTTTAAATGAATTTCCAAAATGGTCTTTTTTAAGAGCAATGGCAATGGCAAGGCAAATAACTACCACGCCTTGCCACTTCAGCTCCCACCCAAAGTTGCCTTGCGTGGCTTCTCCATTCCACTCTGCGTTCTGTTCCATGGGCGAGGCATCTATCTCAATTTTTTATTTTTTTATTTTTTTTATGCACAAAAAAAGTAATTTTTTAAAAAAGAATACATCTCTTTTTTGAGAAAAAATATAATTGAAATAATTTTTAATGATTAAAATATGCATAAAAAAGGGTAAAAAGTAACAAAAATATGACTTGCCACAACAAACTTGTAGGGTTGTAAAAGGAACTTATGAAATTTTATTCATATTTGAAGAATTCTACCATTAATTCATATTCATATTCATATTCATTTTTTATTCGAATAAGCAATACTGTTCGTATTCAATTTGATATTAAATTCGAGTATTTTCTTCATATTTGTATTCTTTTATAAAATATATTTTTTTATTTTTTGCATTTTATATCTTCAAAAATTAATTAAAAAATCACCTAAAAAGAAGTAAAACATAGAGAAAGTTTCAAAATAGGAACTTCATGGTTTATCTCCAAAATAGGATTTCGCACTGTAGTAATGTGGCACTGTATATAAACAATTTACAACACTTTTTAGTAAGATATATACATGGTCATGATTGCCATTGTAAATGAATTTTAACTCCAATTTCATGATTAAAGCATATAACTCATATTTTTGGTATATTTTCAATGTTTGACTCCTACTATAGTCTTTTTTCCAAAATTAATAGGGTATTAGAAATGGTATGTCTACAACAACAACAACAACAACCTAGTTAGGTCCCACAAGGGTCTGGGAGGATGTATGTAGGCAAATCTTGCCCATACGGAGTACTCTTATTATGAAGCAAATATATTAGGTATAAGTTTCTATATTCAAATTTGAATATATTCGTAAACATATCGAATCGAATATATATACATTCGTATTCGTATTAGCTTTCTTTCGAATTCTAATAAATATTTATATTCTTCTTCGAATTCATTTTTTCAAATACGAATCATTGATTTCGAATACGAATCATGAATCAAATCAAAATTATTCATTCGTTTTACAACCCTACTACAGAAGCATGTCACTCCACTCTCTTGTCACACGCTAACTGGACTCCTTTTGATTGGTTAAAATGTTCCACATCATCGTGTGACACTCCATTTCTTTACTTGTCATTGCTAATGCTCTAATTGAGATATATTCCCTAAATACTCATTTGCCAAACATGTATATTAAATGCTAGTCAAAGAGAAGGTGTTTTGGTCTTTTCAATGATCCAGACTTAAGGTATGTTCTCGAAATGCTCTTTTAAAATAAGTATTTTTTTCAAACTGATAATTTCTAAGTAAATGTTTTCCCAAAATTGAGTCCATGAGCCTACTCGGGGTGGTCCGTTCTTCAGACAACCAGCCACTTAATATGAAAGGACCATTTTGAGAAATTATTCATAATTTAGATGATGAAAAATACAAAAATAGCCTCCATTTAACTGTCATTTAATAGGCATTTTTTACATATGACAATTTAGGGAATACATCTCAATTACAAAGGACCACATTGGTAATTATTGCTTATTAAGACTAATTTTGAAAAAACATATTATTAGAAAGGACTATTTTGGGAAATTACTCTTTTCTTTTTGTTTTTAAATACAGTATTATTTTTAAAACATTTTATAAAATTTGTTCATTTAAACTAAAATTAAATATGGAACACCAATAACTTAAATTAAAATCTAAAAAATAAAAAAATTAACTAAATTTAAAACTAACATTGACATTTAAAAAAAATAATTAACCAAAAAAACATGTAAAATTCAAAACAAGAACAAAAAGAAAAAATTGAAAACTTTATAAAAATTAAGGTTTGGATCTAAGGAGAAGAAAAACCTTACAAAAACCTTATAAAACTAAAAAATCTGATATACAAAACACTAAAGTATACATATTGTTTGGATCTAAGGAGAAGAAGACCCAAACCTGCAAAAATTAAAAAAGAAGAAGAAGAAATGGTGGCAAACGGGGGTCCCATCGGTACTATGTGCCGCGTGGCACGCCGAACGCCTCCATACCGCAATCTTTAGTAGTTAATTAATCCACCATGCATTATATACTCCCTCCACTCCAATTTAATCTTCCCAATTATTATTATGATCTTTTGATAACTTATGTTTGTATGACTAATTTTATTGATTATTTGATGAAAGAGAAATTTGCACATTCTTTCAAATGAGAAGAATAAATTTGGACAAAGGGAAGTGTATATTTTGTAATATTAAATAAAGGGAATTAATGAGGAAGAACTCTCTCTCTCTCTTTAAGGGTATGTTTGCGGAGAAAAGGAGATATGATTTTTGATATCTCCAGACATTAGAATCTTTGTTTGGTGTTTGGGGAAGCTAAAAGAGATATCAAGTTTGAAATCTTCAGATATCGTAAATTCTTTAAATGAAGGGTTTCGATGACTCCCAAATTCGAGAGATATCCATATGGCAGTTCGATATCTCTCTCAATCATTGACCATTCTCCGCCACCTGCTACCATTGTTAACGCCAACCACCCCCGTTGTTGGTCACCCCCGCTTGTCACTAATTAAATCATGACTTTAAATTTCTCCAAACAACTTCGTTTCAATTTTTTCAGATTTCAAAACTCACATCATATCATGCCTCTAAAACTTACCAAATGGGCCCTAAATTTTCTCAAGTATTCCTCTATAATTTCTTTGGCAACTAAGTTTTCTCTAGTTTCCCTCTTTTAATTTCTCTCTAGTTTCCATGATTTTTCTATTAATAAAAGCATAAAACTTTTTCTTAGAGTTCTCCCCTAGCTAGTTACAGTGGCAGAAAGTCTACTCCTTAAGATCCACGGAAAAGCTCATTTAGGTTTAATTTCTAGCATAGACGAATGCTTTGGCTCGCTGTGCATTTTTATGGACTAAAAAACATTTAACTAAAAAGACAATGGAGAAGAACTAAAATACAAATAAGACATAGGTAAAAAATCAAAATCGAACTTTCAAATTTTAATACCAAAATAGGAGTTATAATGTTAATAATGCCAACATAAATATCAAAAAATATTATGAAATGTCAATGTACCGTGCCATATTGTCACAACGCACTAATTCTATTTTGGAGATAAAAGTATGTCTTTTCTATTATGGGAAAATGATTATGCTTTGCTTTTATTTTCCGTAATTTGTTAAGAAACAAATACTCTCTTCATCGAAAAAGCACTTCCTATTGCAGTTTACCATGTTTAACTAAATTTATTTTCCTAACAAATTATTTAAAGTTGTTATGGAATAAAGAAAAAAAGGTCCCACAAAAAGAGAAAAAATAAAATTTAAATATTTTAAGAAATACATAAAAAAAAATACGAAGTGAGAGATGATATGGCTATTTTATTTTATGAAATGAATAGCGAATACAGGCAAAAGAAATAGATAAAATTTGATGACTGAAGGGGAATTAGTTCATTCATTACTTGTACATTTCAGTAAGGGCAGCCATTGCGCTAATCCGGATGCCATAAGCTGAATATCTTAGTCCGCCTCGCGGCTATGGATCAGAGGAATCAAGTTTTACAACAAAGGAATCTCCTGAGCTCTTGATCAATACAGGCTAATAACAATCATCCACTTAAATGAAGGATCGCCAAGGATTTTAAAAACAGAATAAACCTAATAATTGTACAAATGTACAAACAGATCTCTAAGCTTCATTTGACTGCACTGCATGACAGCAGCAAAAAGCTGATGTAGGAAGCTCACCTCCACAATTAAGGTTTAGCATGGAAACCCTTCGATAAATATTTCACTTGAGATCTGACTCCAACTGAAGTTCTTATTTTGTGGACAGAATCCAAAACAAAATGCGCACAAAGATGAACAGCTTTACAGTTCTCCAATTTCCCAGTACCTGATCTACTCTTCTTGTCAGAGATATGGCCAGCTAAGAGTGTAGCCATCCGGATGAAGCCGTGGTTAACAACATCAAAGAATGATGCAAAAACAGCGTCGGCCTGCCTCTTCATTGTCAGTGTCACCCGCTTCACTGCAGAAAGATTCGCGTGTCAAAACAGAAATCCAAATAATGTTAGTGGAATGAATAAAAATAAGTTCAAGGACTTGACTCTATATATAAGCCTCCTGAAACTAACCACTAATCTAGGGAGAGATATGAGGGAATACGGCTACCATACTTAAAAGTTAAAATAAATATCCTCTTCGACAACTTTGCATGTGTTTTTCTTTAAAATAGATGCAAAATAACTTAAGATTTCTAAATGTTCATGTTTCTTCTGCACCCTGCAGCATTCATAATTACAAGCACAAATTTACCATCATCACCTGAATAACAATGTCGTGCCTCACTAGAAGGCAACAAAAAATGCATACCGAAAAGTTAATAGTCGTGTTGACTGCTCTCTCAAACTGCTGCTAACTACTACCTCCATCCAAGTGTATTAGTCCAGCTTGACTTTTTTTAGTCAAACTGGACGGACTTTGGAGCTCAATTAAACAAAAAATGGTAATATATTTTAGTATAGAAATGATTTCAATCAATTTATCTTGTTGAGAACAATTAAAAATTTAATTTATTGTATTAATATGGAACACAAACTAAGATTTATTGATGATTAAAGTTCGTCCAGTTTGACTCTTTGAGTCAAACTAGACGAATACACGGGGCGGGGGAGTATATCTCAAGAAAAGTTCAATGTTCATGATTGTTGTCTTTGCAAAAAAAGGGCCCATCAAATGTTCACAGTTCGTACAATCCTTGCCTTACTGTAATACGTAAGACACTGACTCTTACACAAGGCCAATGGAGTTCAAGAGTAATCTTTGGCAATGTTTTAGCTTCGTACAAATAATGGACCAAATTGAAATAGCATGTTAACCTTCATTGGCTCATTGCTTCTTTTCTCATATTAGGTTTTGGATAGTAAATGCATCAATACATCAAGAGTCTAATGGAAACAGTATCTCTGTTTTTTACCGTTGTAAGATTTCCCTACGTCTTGACCCAAAAGAGTTGGGAATGTACACTGTTGTTATTGTTGTTAATGAATTGATATGAGAATCTCAAAATAGTACTTCCTCTGTCCTAAAAAGTCCTTCACGTTTCAAAAAAAATAGTGTCCCACAATCTCCAATTCTCCATCACATTTCTATTAAAACCCACTTTTACCCCTTACATTTTCATACCTTACCTATCACATCATACCTTTTTTCTAATAATCTACACATCACATCAAGAGTATTCTTGAAAAGTCAACACAAAATTATCTCTCTTATTTTGCCACTTTAGTCAAGTGTCCATCTCTTTCTGGGCCGGAGGGAGTACGTATTAAATTGTCAAAGCAGAGCAAGGCCCATAGTGTAGAAATGAATATATTTAATGGTTTCTGGATACATTCCTTGTGTCTGAATATTTAATAAAGAAACCTGTTAAGCATCAGCAGACATTTTATTGGCAATGTTATAAAGAAGGCATTAAAAAGAACAGATGGGTTACCTGCTCTCAAACTCTTTGATCTCAGCAAGTTCTTGCCCCAATTTATCCACCCACTGCACACTCTTCTTCTTCTTCTCGATCTGCTTTGGCATGCCGCTTTTTCTAATGCAGCTTCTACGACAACAGTTAATGGCAGCTTGCTTGATCCTTTGTGGCGGATTCACCTCACCGGCCTCTCCAGTAAATTCCACAGTGCCATCAGCATCAACAACAGTGGAAGAAGGAACGCGGGGCGTACTTCCCAACTTCAGCTGGGGTTGAGAGTAGAGACAACAGGGAGGAGCAGATGGCTTGCAGAAGCAAATGAAGGGCGAATGAATCTTGCAGAATAAGATCCCCATCAAACCCCTTTCCTTCATCAATCGAAACTCATCTTAGATGCCCCAGTTGCCTCTGCTCCATCATCAATTGCGGACACAAACCCTTCAAGAAACCCCAATTTCAAGAAGAGTTGAAATTGATGGGAGTAGGTGACCGATTCCACCTGCGCTGACACACATCAGAGTGAAATCATCCGGATCGAAAACAAAACAGGATTCTCTGCTGATCAGAGTATTCAATGATCCGGATCCACAATCTAGCACAAGGAGGAAGAAAAAGAACATACAAAACGTTTCCCTTTGTTTCCGAATAGGGGGGACATTGAAAGGACAAAAGCAGTTGTTGCTTTTTGTTAACGTCCGGCTGATAAGAGTAAAAAATGGAATGGAAGTAAAAAATGGAATGCCATGATGTGGAGTATTTTAACTAATCAAAATCTGTCCAGTCAGCGTGTGTTACATGAATGGAGTGGCGTGTCTTACAGTGGCAAGTCACCATTTTTATCATTTTTTATACCTTTTTAATATATTTTGATTTCACATATTATTTTACTTACCTTATTTTAATAAAAAAAATTGTAATCTTTTTTGGCAATGTTAACATTTTTGACATATTTTAATTAGCCCATGCGTGCTTTTTTATTATAAATTATTACATTTTCTTGTAAAGATTTAATTGTACAAAGAGAAAATTATATTTTAAAATTTTTTAATTTAAATTATATAATTTCACATAAAACATTAATGTTTAAAAATATATATTTTTTAGTCTCAAATAAAGGTTTGATTATTTTGAAAAAGAAAATAAATTGTAAAGAAAAAAAGCAAGGGTTAAAAATGGAAAACATTGCCTATAATCTCAATAAAAGAAAAAAATTCTTTCTTTTACCAAAAAAAAACAAAACAAAGGAAAACATTGCCTCGCACATGCCACTACTTGCAAGGAGAATTGGGATGATTTGCCATGGAAAATGTTGGGAAATTTCCCTCCTACATGGAGGAAGTGTCCAATTTTAATTAGACAACACTTTAAATCTCTCTTTTGTATTTTGGACTTATTTTTTGTGTAAAACTTTAGCCCAAATATTTTTTGGGCCCATTCTCTTTTGTGTGGCTGGATACTAACAAAGAAAGAAAAGAGATAAGAGAGCAAAGAGAAGTGGAGAAGAGGTGAGGGCAGTGGCAGTAGCCAATACGCAGGAGAAAAGAAAAAAAACAGAATTTCCGCCACACTGTGCAGCAGCCCCGTTTTCTGTCCGGATCGAAGGTCAAACGAAGTCCGATCGTGCTCAAATTTTAGTATGTTGTTCCTCACATACTTCTCTTCAAATCCAACGGTCAGATTCTCATTTTGATGCTCGGAAGGTTGTTTTCTAGCTGCGTTTTCAGACCTGCGTTTTTGGGAGTCTTTACTCCATTTTATAGTGAATTGTTGATTGTTGTTGTTCCAAGGTTGCTCCTTAATGATTGTGCATGCCTCTAGTGTTTACTAGAGAGGAGAACTTGTTGTACCCACTTGATTCTTGGTGATTAGTGGAAGTTTGGGAGCTGTTGTTGAGCGGCCGTGGTTTTCTCCCCGATTTGGGGTTTCCACGTAAATCGTGTGTCATCTACTTTATTATCGCTGCCATTTATTTGTGTGTGTGTTGCTGATTTTTCAGAGTTTATTGTGCTTGTTATTCATCTCATTAATTTGGGGAAAAGATTTTATACGCTTCCGTTGTGTTTTGTTCCGTGCTTCCCCAACAGAAAACAAGTAAAAAGATGAGCTGGCATGCGTGGCAGTGGCTTTGACACGCCACTGCCCATGCTCTAAAGCAGTTTGCTTTCGTATATATATGATTAGTTTCTAAAATGGACTATTGGTGCGGGTAAACCCCCACCCTACTCCGCCTCAAACCAAAGACTCTATTTTTTCAATTCCACCTTCCAAGTTTGATTTGCTTTAGAGTCAAAATTTTAATTTCAAAGTCAATTAAACTTAGATGATGAGATTGAAGGAGGTGGGGTGGTGGGTTCAGGGCGAGGTGGGGTGGGGGACTTACCGGGGGTTAGGAAGGATAAGAACTATCAATTTTATGAGCGGAGCATCCTAGGATCCTGTGTCATCCCATGAAATTGCTTAGCAATGTCATCAGAAATAAAGAATAACTAGTAGTGCAAAATCAATTACTTCCTTCATCCTAAAATGTTCTACTCGTTTCTATTTACGAGATTTGACCGACTTTATTTTCAATTCAATTTATTTGAGTGTAGGTATAAAATTTAAAAATAAAATTTATATATTTAAAAATTACATCAAAAATTATACAAAACAAGAAGTTTGATGCTATTTGTGCCCCAAAAATTGTATTCTAAGGGGGGCTGTATTCAATCCAGACTCTGTAGGATTTTTTTGGATTTTAAAAGTCAATGTGTATTCAATTTGGATTTTGAAAAATCAATTAAATTTTGGAGGTATTCAATTGAGATTTTAAAAAATCTTTCTAAATCTAATGATATTGAAAAGTTAATAGATTTTTAAAGATTGTTAAATAAATGAATTCTAATGGATTTTTGGCTTGAAGTATAAATAAAAAATTTGTTTTGAAATCCAACCAAAAATGCATGTATTCTCAAGAATCCAAGAGTCCGTTTAATGCCTCCATCTCCTTCTTCGAAGATCTTCTTCTTCTTCCTCGAGTCATCTTCTCGATCTCCTTCCCCGTCGGGCGCTCCCTCGTTCAGCACTCCAGATCTGTCACCGTTTCCGAGGTCGTCGATGACCACAACCGGCAATAGGTTATTTTAACAAGGTAATAGAAATCATTATTTATCTCCTTCAATCTCGTTTTCATCTCCTTAGGGTTTTTGATTTGCAGCTCCGCCATACAAATCTGTCCAGTTTGAAGCATTAATTCACTATTCTTCAAACTTGGCTAAGATAAATTGATTTTCCATATTTATTTTTTCTAGGTTTTTCTATATTGTTCTTGCTCAAACTCATGCTATTGAAGTGATTGTCAGTCTTTTTTAGTCCGTGTATTCTTGAATTTTGGCATAATGTTGTAATGTTATAATGCTGCTGTAATGTTGTAATAGAACACATATTTTTCCGTAAGTTCTTCAATTCAGCGATTGATTCTTTATTGCACAAGACATTCCATTGCACAAGAAAAGTAAATAGAGCCAAACATGTAAAGGAACTATTATGTGAAAATACACCAAGGTTCCCATGACATTGGGAACCAATGTCATGGGATGACCCGGGGGCGCTCCGGTGCCCCGTTCGTAAAATTGCGGTTCCTACCCTCCCTAACCCCCTGGTAAACCCCCCCACCCCGCCCCGACCCGAATACACCCCCCACCCCCCTTCAATTGCACCCCACAAGTTGATTTTGACTTTGGAGTCAAAATTTGACTCCAAAGTCAAAATCAACTTGTGGGGTGCAATTGAAGGAGGTGGGGGAGTGTGTTCGGGTCGGGGCGAGGTGGGGGGTTTACCGGGGGGGTTAGGTGGGGTAAGAAGCGTCAATTTTATGAACGGGGCACCGGAGCGCCCCCAGGTCATCCCATGACATTGATTCCCAATGTTATGGGAACCTTGCCCATGAAAATAATAATGTTCAGCTTAACACAAGTTCAGGTTCAAAAAATCTTCCAAGACTCACATTTTAACCTAACATGGCAGCTAGAAAGCAATCATAAATCCATGATAGAACATTGTTGGTGTCTTTGTTTACAGAGGCACCAAAATGTTTTGAATTTACTTTTTTTACAAGTACTCTTCTAAAATACCAAAATGTTTTGAATTTTTTTTAGTCCCATATACATATTTGCAGAACATTGTTTTAGTCCCATATACATATTTGCAGAATATTATTTTAGTCTCATATACATATTTGTAGAACACATATTTGCAGAACACATATTTGTAGAACACATATTTATAGAACACATGTTTGCAGAACATTTTTTTAGTCCCATATACATATTTGTTTGTATGTATGTATAGAACACAATGTGAAAGAAGATTTATTTTTCTGCATATGTCTACTTATCTGTTAATTATTTATTTTGGTATGCATATGTGTAAAGAAGTGGTTAGTTTTACTTTATATGTACTTGGTCATATAGATAAATGGAAGAAGAAGTGATAGGAAGAGAAGAAATAGATGAAGAAGGAATTGAAGAGGAATTCTATGAAACTATCAAGTACTTATTATTGGCCATTCAAGCAATAATGATTGTTTTAAGAGAAGCTCTAATTAACATGCCTCAACGTGTGGAAGGTTCCCTCAAACGTCGCTCCGTAACTACAAAAGGATATTATTATATGCATGGAGTGTTGAAAGAAGATCCACAAAGTTTTCGAGAACTGTATAGAATGTATCTTGATGTGTTTCTTAAGCTATGTACCGTTATCAGAGAAAGTACACCTTTAGAAGACACGAGATATATTTGTGTTGAAGAAATGATAGCAACATTTCTACTCATTGTGGGTCACAATGATCGGTATTGTAATGTTCGTCAAAGATTTGGTCGTTCACATTTCGCAACTAGTCAAAACTTTAACAAAGTTTTGAAGGCATTAAACACTATAGCACCACAAATGATGGTCAAGCCGGGATTTGCCGTGCCTTCTAAAATAAGAGGCAACACAAGATTTTACCCCTACTTTAAGGTACTTTCTTTGACAAAAATAATGCAACGTTGATTATGAACCAGTTTTGATTTCTATTTTTTTAAAAAAATGCATGAACTACAAATTTGTTTCAAATTTTTATTTATTACAATTTTATTATGTTTTAGGATTGCATTGGTGCCATTGATGGCACTCATATTCCTGCAATGGTAAATGGTCGTCAAGTAAGTAGTTATCGTAATTGTCATGGTATTCAGTCCCAAAATGTGTTAGCGGGTGAGAAGGATCTGCACATGATTCAAAAATGCTAAAATTGTAAATTGCGGGCATTCATCTTCACTTTGTGCTAGCTAGGGTGATGGTTCACAGAGATACAAAATGTAAGTACAATTTTTTTATCATACTAGCATATTGTATTAGTGTGAATCATCGAAATGTTAATGCATAACTTTAGTGTATAATTTGTGTTACATTTTATGGAGTACATCTATCATGGTTGGTGCAAAATTGCAAATGCTTCTCTCAATTAAACAAAACAAACCTTAAGCCTTTGTTTGGTTAATAAGAGAAAATAGAAGGAAAGAAATTGATGGGAAAGAAAATAGAGGGAAGAGAAAATGATGAGAAAAGTAAGATGAAAGAAAATGTAATAAAATCAAAAGACAATTTTGTCCTTAAAAAGAAAAAAATGTGAAAACATAGGTATGGTGATTTGTGGCTGTGAAGAAGATAATGAAAGGGCATATTTGTAATTTGGTTACTTTTCTCTCCACTTGCGTCCTTTTCTCGCCTTTGTAGGTGAGAAAACTTTTTTAGCCAATTTTCTCTCTCTTCTCCCTTTTCCATCCAAACCAAACAGAGGAAATTTTCTTGAAAAATGTGTTTTCTCATCTTAGATTTTCTTTCTCTCCAAAATCTCTCAATCCAAACAGCCTGTAAATGTTGATTCCTAAAGAACTCTAGCGCTAAAGAAAAAGAAAACAAAATGAATATGATTAAATTCTTTTTTAAATTATTTTTTCAAATATTATGGACACTATTACAATCTACTCCCTCCGTCCCAGAGTATTTGTCCACTCTTATTTTTACACATCATCCAATGCACTTCTTTAATCCAGTTTATCTTGTAATTTGTATATTAAAAAATTATAGAAATTATATATTAATAATCTATATGTTAAGACAAATCAAACAAGATCACACATGACTATATTTAGGCTTACACATTGAGAGAATTTGATGAGTCCAAGTACTTAGATGAACAGTTCCAAAAGTCAAAAGTGGACAAACAAAGCAGGAGGAAGGGAGTATTAACTTTTTCATATTTTTGGAGAACGATTATTCTACCACAAGAGGAAACTCTCTTAAATAATTATACGTACTTTTTTCATTCAAAATTATTCTGTACTAAAATCAATTCTGAATACTGAAGATATAAAAGTAAGGGTGAATTTAACAAATTTGGAGTAAATCTATTCATTGCTTGGATGATAATTAGAAAATGATAAGAAAGAAATGTAGAGAAAATAGAAAGAAAATGGTTGTCGTTTGGATGTTCAGAAAGTGAAGAACAATTATGAAAAAAAGGTGTAAAAAAGAAAAAGAGAAAAGAAATGAGAACGGTATATTTGTAGTTATTTTTCTAATTTTACCCTTGATGTGATGAGTCGATTATTAGTGAAAAAGTATGATGCGATAGGTAGGATAACAAAAAATAAGGGCAAAAATTACTTTTTAATAGACACAAAAAAATGAAAAAAGTAAGTGTTTTAAGTAACCGAAAAAGTACTATTTGTTATCATTCTGCGTTGGTCAATATCAGGTCGATAAAAAGGGAGTTAAAAGAAAACACATGCAAAGTACTATTTTTTTCCTCTTAGTGCCCGTCGAGTCAGGTTTGAGGGACCCTCAAGGGAGGCTCATTCTTTTTTTTTCAAAAAATAAAATATATCACCAGTCACTCGCGGATCCACGTTAAAAATAAAGGGGTAGTGG